ATGTTTAAGAAATTTTAGGGTGCATACCATTAGATATTTTCTTAAATGCCATTTGGTAAGTTATACTGGAGGTTTTACAAAAAATATTTGAGATGGTTTGAGGAACATTTCATAAAAAAAATAGAGTTGTTTTATTGGGATGAGTATCAAATACTAAGGCAAATGATAAAAGTCTGACTTTTTGGTTAAAGCTCCAGGATAACTAGCCTATTGGTATTTATTGAAACATGTGATGACATGCCCCCTAATATTTCTTATGCACAGGGTCAACAGGGTACAATCTATTCCTCCACAATTAGTGGCTTAAGACTGATCGGAAAGTTGTTAAATATGTTGAACCTATAAAACAGCTGTTATGGTAATTGCAATACAATAATGATTTCCTAGTAATAGTTAGATGTTTTTCAACACCTTGGTTCAAACAAAAATATAACCCAGCTATCACATCTAAATAAAAAATCAGTTTTCTATGAATACATCAGTTGATAACAGTTAAGTGAAGGTTTCTTTACTGATGATTAGCATAAACATTCGTTACATACTCTGAATAATAATTTTTTTTAAACGTATCACTCTTAACACTTCAAAATTTAAGAGGCGAACAAATTAAATGTAATGTTATAATTTGCAACCAAAAAATTCTTTAAAATATTTCTTAAAGTGACAACATGCACCACAAACTATTTATGTAGATAAAAAAAGCTATCGTTTCCAATGTAATAGTTTAACATTCCAGATCAACTCACCTATTTTCATAAAGTCGGTCTCATCTTTGATACTGTCTGGGCCGCTTCATGTTGTTTGAAAAGTTCAGCAGGTCGATACCCTAAGAACGGATCAACATAATAGTTATTCTCTTTTAAAATCTGCATTAGACATGGGAACTGTTAAGGCATGGCTGCTGAGAGCAAAGAAAGCAAACACACTTTGCAGTCTCCAATGCAAGTAGGGGTACAAACCTTGTGGCTGCCAGGGTAGAGATCAGGTTGGGTCCACACTGAAGTTCAACACTTTTCTCTGCATGTTGTTTCTTGAAATGCACTCAATACTAGAACCACTAAAACAACTGAGGGTAGTCTTGACTATTACAAAGTTTTGTGAATAGATTCCACGAAAACTTCTCTTGAGAGTTGCAGGGGGTTGGCTTTCAGATTTGATTTGTTTTAAACAAATTGGTCTCTTCAATCGCATTGCTAACATTTCTACTAATTCACTATACCCAAGTGAATAAGGGAAAATAACTCAAACTTTGAGAAATAGTTAAAAACTACAAAAATCTGAGAATATACTGACTCTGTTTACAAACAACACGACAAGCACATGGCCTAGTTGCAGGTTAGGCTGCGGCTGCCGGCCGGCTTCCGCCCTGCCCGTTTTCCGGGTGAAGCGCGCGTGAATCGTGCGAATTCAAACGTACAGCAAAGCGTAAACAACATGTAAAAGCACATTGCGCCAAAAAAGTTTTCCCCCTTTTGATATGTTGTTTACCATAACGCGATAGACAATGTTACATGAGATGTTTAATAATTTTGGTGACATTTAGAAGTAATTATGGGGAGTGGGGAGACGCACGAAAATGGCTAAGTCCAACCCAAGTGCATAAAGTTACCAAAAAAATGTGTTCCCATCTTTTGATATGTTGTTCACAACTACTGGAAACGTCCAGTCAACTTAACATGGGAAGTGACAAATTTTGACGGACACTTAAAAAATTTTCGACGATTGGCTCGCGAAATCACAAGTCCGTAAGGAGTGGTGGGAGGGGAGTCATGGAGAGGAGGTGGGGGGGAGGGGGAGTACGCCACACTCCGCCACGCCGTGCCAACTCTCACGCCTATCTACGACTCATACGACTCATTTTGGGGGACCCCGAGAGGACCCCTGACGACTCGTACGACTACTGGAGGCCGCTCCGGTGGACTTTCCGGGAAG